ACTTTTGTTTTATTTTATTTTATAAACATTTGAACTTTCGTACTGACTGTCTCTCCTTGAATACTGGGTCCATCTGTCCTCGTTTCATGACAAGTTCATGCAAAGTTTGGCTTTATAAAGATTGCATGGCTTGATCATCAATGCAGATGGGATTTCTTAATGTTAAAAGGTAGTAAAATAAAACAATGGTTTCTTTTATATAAAAATTATTTTTAGGAAAACAGCCCAAGGCAGTTCTTTTTATCAGAGAAACATTAGCTGAGAAAATTAATGGGGCAATATTTATGATACATTTTTGAAACTCAAACATGTGCCCCAGTATAAATCTCATGAATATTTGCAGCAATAATACATTTTGTAATGCATCCATTTAGATAATTCCAACAGGAGGAGACGTATATTTCTACTCAAATGCGAGTGTGTTGTTAACTCCAAATTGAGGAAGTATTAGCGCACCCACGTCAGCGCACGTCACTGCATGAACTGTAGGTAAACTAACACGCTGCTCTCAACTGAGTCTGATGGGACAGTGTGTGGCCGCAAAGCATTTTTATTTCTGGTAACCATTCTTATCCGTGCTGTTTCACACCTGCCAAGCAGTACCAGAGGCCAGAAACTTATTTGACCTGTTGCAGTGTGTATACTCAATTTTTAGTGTTGCTCTTACAAACCATCACAGTTTCATAGAGGTGCAAAAGCAGCTGGGTTTGCAACCATCTGAACTTGTACAGTTGTCAAAGCCTCGTTGGTCGTGCCAGCTGCGATCTGTCAATTGCATCTTACAGAACTTCCCTGCCGTTCTTCAATGCTTTACCAGCATTAACTCTTCCATGGCAGTGGGATTCTCCACAGTATACCTGTTGGTGATGTTTAAGGTCTTCCTGTCTGTAATTGAGAATCTACACAAATATTTGCAGAGTGAAACAGTAGACCTGGCTAAGGCTACAGAGTATAAGGAAGCTGTGTGTGACACTCTGAAACAGATGCGCTCAGATGAGAAGGCTGCTGAGCTGTATGATAAAGCTTAAAAGAAACCTGTATCTGACTTCTCTTGACAGGATGGTTCCTGAGATGAATGAGCATTTTTCATCTCTTAATGGACAAATTCTCAGAGGTATACAGGCCTGTAACCCAGAATCAGACAGCTTTCTCTCTGAGGAGCTCCTCAGACATCTGGCAGATCATTACAATATTGGTCTGAAATCAGAGGAAGTTTTCGTGGCAAAAAAGTATCTTGCGTTCAAAAAAGAAAGCCTTGTCATCAAGGATATGCAGTGTGTTTTCAACTTTCTTGATAACATCATGTTCCCAACACTAACGCAGGTCATCCAGATCTCCCTCACAATCCCAGTCTACAGCTGTAGTTGTGAAAGGTCATTCAGTGTGTTGAGAAGGATCCACACTTGGCCGAGGTGCACAATGGATCAAGACAGGCTCCATCATCTTGCTATTTTATCAGTTGAAAAGGAAGAAC